CACTCACCTCAGCCTCCCAAAGGCGTGGGATTACAGGCTGAGCCACCGAACCCGGCTGGGTTTTTAATTTAAAATTTTATTAAGATAATTTTATACTCACATGATCCCATACACCTACCCTTCATTCTGTTTTCCCCAAGATAACATATTACAAAATAATAGTACAATATTGAAACCAGGATATTGATATTGATACACTCCACAGGTCTTATTCAGATTGTCCCAGTTTTGCTTGTACTCATTTGTGAGTGAGGATCTGACAGTTTGTGTTTATGTCTATCCAGTTTTACCACGTGTAGGTTTGTGTTTCCACCACCACAGTCAAGATTTAGAAGAGTTCCATCACCACAAGATTCTTTCATGAGGCCCTTTTATAACCACGCCTACCTCCCTTGCGTATCCTTCCCTACAGCTAAAATCATACTAAATGCTGAAAGACTGAATTATTTCTCCCAAAGACTGGGGAAAGGGCAAGGATGCTGGCTCTCACCATCTTTATTCAACATAGTCCTAGAAGTTCTAATCACTGCAACAAGACAGGAAGAAGGAATAAATCCAGAAAGATTAGGAAGCAATAAATACAATTGCCCCTGTTTGCAGATAGCATACTGTTTATGTAGATCAATGGCAAAGGGTAGAGGTCCTAGAACTATTAAGTGAGTTCTGCAAGACCACTGGTTACACGATCAACACACAAAATCAATTGCATTTTGATATACTAACAGTGAACTTGCAGAAATCAATATTAAAAATCATTTATAAACACCTCAAATAAAATAAAATAATTAGGTATGCACGTAACAGAATACTTGCAGAAGATGTACGCTAAGAATTACAAAATTCTTCTGTAAGACATCAAAGAAGACCTAAATAAATCATGAGTTGGATGAATTGATGTCATAGATGTTAATTCTCACCAAATTGATTTGGAATTTTAATAAAATTCCCTAATAAAAATCCCAGAAATGTTTTTATAAGTGTAGACAAACATATTCTAAAATGTATGCAGAGACTTTAGGTACTAGGATAGTTAAAATAATTCTGAGAAACTACTGTACCTGATGTTAAGGCTTACCATGTAACCACATTAATCAAAACACTGTGGTATTGGCAGAGGGATAGGCAGAATAGAGAACCTGGATATAACCACACGAATATGCCCAAATGATTTTTAACAAAGGTACAAAATTAATTTAATGGTGTAAGTATACCATTTTTTAAAAAATGGTGCTATGGCAAAAGTAGTAGGCGGGGTGAGGTGGGGGGCGGGGAGAGAGAGAAACTTGACCTAAACCTTACACCATATACAAAATGTACCCAAATGGATCATGTACTTTAAAATAAAATATAAAACTATAAAACTTCTAGGAAAAATAAAATAAAATCTTTATCAAGTTGAGGAAGCTTCCCACATACCTAGTTTCTGATTGATTTTAAAATGTTGAAGCTTGCTGGATTCAGTTTGCTAATATTCTGTTGAGGATTTTTGCGTCAAAGTTTATGAGAGCTATTGGACTGTGATTCTCTCTCTCTCTCTCTCTCTCTCTCTCTCTAATACTGCCTTCATCTAGCTTTGATATCAAGCTAATAGTGTCCTCATCAAATGAGCGGGAAAGTTGTCCCTCCTCTTCTGTTCCTGAAAGAAATTGATGTAATTCTTCTTTGCATGCATGGTAAAACTATCATGAAGTCATCTGGACTCAGGAATTTCTTTTCCAGGAGACTTTTCATTATGAATCTATTTTTTAATGGTTTTAAGGTTGTTCGTATCACCTTTTCACCTTGGCTGAGTTTTTGTGTTTGTGGTTTTTGAGGAATTGGTTCATGTTTTTCCAATTTATCAAATTAATGAGGGCACAGTTGTTTGTTATATTCCTTTATTACCTTTTTTAATGACTGTAAGATCTTTATTGATGTCTACTATTTCATTCTTGATATTAGTGCTTTGTGTCTGTCTTGTCTTTTTCAATCTTGTTAAATGTTTTATTTTCTATTTATTAATTTGTTTCAGGAGAATTTGTAATTAATTGCTGAAGTATTTTTATGGGTAGTTTAAAAATCCCTGTCAGATAATTGCGACTTCTGATTTATCTTGGTGTTGGCATCATTTGTTTTTTCTCATTTAACACGTAATTTGGTTCTTGATATGATGGGTGATTTTTAATAGTATCCTAGGCATTTGTCTATTATGTTAGAAATTCTGGATTCTACTTAATCCTTTTATTTTAGGAAGTAATCACCCTATTTAAATTTAACATGTAGGCTTTGACCTACTTTTGTGGGCTGTGCTTCCAATGGCAATTTAATACCACAGCCTTTATGGTATCATTTTGATGCTTGTTTTTCTGGTAAGCCTGGGGGCTTCTACCGGTCCCTGCTGGTACTGCCTGAGGTGGCAGAGAAGGCCTTTTGGCCAGGATGTTAGTTGTCTGGGCAGTAGAGAGGTAGGGGGTGGGAATTGTCATGGCTTCTTTCACTGCTGTCTCTTGGGTGTCCTCATGTCTCTGAGAAGGGTAGGAGAGCTTGAACCCACAAGGATCAAGAGTCCTCCTGGAATGGGCCACTTACTGAAGCTTGGCCCCTCTTACAACATCTGTCTACTTGCTCCTGGTTTCTCTGTACCAGAGAGCAGTGTCTTGGGTCCACAGGGACAAGCAGGGATCCCACATGACCACTTGTGTGACTGCATCCTATTTTCCAGTCCTGCCTGCCTACTCAGTGAACCCGAGTCTTTGTTAGAGTTGCTATTTCCTACTTGCCTTAAATGTTTTAATGGCCTATTATCACTTCCACCATTTCATTTAGATGTGAGATCCTTGGTATTGAGAGGCAATCATATGCTGAATTTTTATTCTGCTTCCATTTTTTATGTAGAAGAATGGTGAAATGTCATTACTGACCATTCAGAGTTTGGAAAGTAGTTAAATGCTTGAGTCCATTGCCAGTTAAATATGTTTTCATCAGTATCGCAGTATTTTAGGAAAATACAGTGTTTATGTTTGGGGCCTTTGGGAGTTAAATTTCATTTTGATTTGACACACACAAAATCTGGTTGTTTTCATTCAGCGATTTTGGTCAAGGTGGCCTACCCGTGTGGTCAGTGGCAGGAGCTCAGCTCTCCTATGGGATCACTTATCTCTTTTTCTCATATAGCTCCCAAGAAAATGACTCTTTCTTAACTGCTGGTCACAAAGGCAATCAAACCAGGGCTTACTCCTTTGTTGCCTAGAAAAACAATGAGTATCACATAGCACACACATCTCCATGCTTGGAAACCACCGATGTTACTTTTCTGTGCAAAAGATAGCGTTTGCATAGTATCAGCTAATCTTCACTCCTATTATCTAATTTCTTGTAGGAGAATTTCACCTCTCAATGAAACCATGGACATGTTTCATTCACAAATGCTTACATAAAGCCTTGCTACTTGTGTCTTTACATTCTAAATACAGAATACATTTACAATTAGTGTGGTTTATGTTATTACATATAAAAAGTAATCAAGGTTGGGCATGATAGCTCAAGACTACAATCCCAGCGTTTTAGGAGGCCAAGGTGGGAGGATCACTTGAGCCTAATAATTCAAAGACCAGTCTGGGCAATATAGCAAGACCTCTACTTTACAAAAAAATCAAAAAATTAGCCAGGTATGGTGGTGCGTGCCTATAATCCCAGCTACTTGAGAGATTGAGGCAGAAGGATCACCTTAGCCCAGGAGGTCAAGTCTGTGGTGAGCTGTGATTGAGCCACTGCACTTCAGACTGGGTGGCAGAGTAGGACCTCGACTCAAAAAAAAAAAAAAAAGTAATCAAGATGACTTGGCACAACCTCATTGTCCTCTAAAGCACACAGATTAAGTCACTATTTAGTCATTGTCATTTGCTAGCAGAAGGGATACAGAAGAGGGTAGAAAATAGCATAAATAAAGGTCTGGACAGCAATTGTGGTAGGAAGATTTTCTAGAATGGCTCACCAAAGATGCCCCGCCCTAAGTTCTGCAATCTTTGAATGCTATGAGCCATCACTCTCATGATCAGGTTATGTTGACTTAAAGACATAGCTGGGTAATCACATGAACACTTGAAAGCAGGAACTTTTTCCTGTAGGTGGCAGAAGAGAAAGTCAGAGAGATTTCAACCCAAGAGGAATTTAATGCACTATTGCTTGCTTGAAGTTGGAGAAGTCATGTGAAAAGGAACGTGGGTGCCTTAAGGAGCTGAGAGAGGCCCCTTGCCAGGAAATGGAGACTTCAGTTCTACAGTGTTAGCCTTAGAGAGGTCATCTTAGATAGTCCCCGCCATTTTGCTACTACAAACCTAAATAGAAAATTACTAGCAGGGCCCAGAAGCAACAACTGGGCTAACTGCAAGCCTTCTTCCTTAGCTACCCCCTAGCACAAGCTATCCGCCAAAAACACCCCACTGGCCATTATAAATTGCCCTTAGTCTATAAGTGGATTTGGGCTCTAGTCTCATCTGGTGTCCTCTGTGCAGGTCTTTCTTCAGATAAACCTGAGTTGCTTTTGAGCCAACTGTCTCTCGTCTCTTCTCTGTTTACTTGGTTTCTTAACCTAATATTTAGCTGTAAGAAACTGAGTTCTGCCAACAACCTGAATGAGCTTGGAAGTAAATTTCTCTGTCAGAGGGACACAGCTTGAACTCAGATAAAGTGAGCAAGCTATGGCAGCAGCATTATCCTCTGAGGGAGTGGGAAACTAAAGTTGCACTCTTCTTTTAAGGATGCAGGGAAATTGCTGTATCTTATGAAATATCTCCTTGCATCCCAAATTCCTTTAACCCCTCTCCCTGTGATAACCACAGAATCAACCAAAACCAGCCTACTCAGGAGCCAGATGTCCACCCTCAAGAGCTCGGCTTGCAGTGAAAGGAAAGATGGCCTCTCCGACTCTAGCAGCTGGAGGACTGCTCCAAGTGACAAAGGCAAGCTAGAAAAGGTCTCCATCCCTGGAGGTCCAGTTGGCCTCCCTTTGCACAGTGTATCAATTCCTGAAAGAACTGAGTATAGACATGTTTTGGGAAAACAAAATTTTAAATGTCTCCAAATTGTTTCCTCTTCAAGGGAAATCCCTGTGAGTCAGGTCTACCTGCTTTATGAACTGGATTTCTTTAGGACTAGACATGCACTGATGGCATTCGAGTGTTTAATACACACGTGGTTCACATAATTATGGTGCCAGTAGTAATGCTTACTGCCATTCTGTGGTTTGAACTTGAAACTCTAATACTTTAGTTTATTTTCTTCCCTTCATTCACAGGTAATACCATCCAATGAGCCCCTCTTTGGTCAAAGTTGTTAGCATTTTGGGGCTAAGTGTATCTCTTCCACTGAATTTTTATTGCTATTGATAAAATTATCATTCTTAAAGTAATACATTCGGAAAAGTTCAACCACTATAGTACTTTTCTCTATATTTTAAATAGTTGATACATTTGAAATCCCAGCTAAACACAAACACACACCCAATCCCCTAGGAATTGGAAGTACCTAGGTGACAAATAACACCTATTGCTACTTAGTCATAGCTTAATCAAACTCCATCTTCTTCAGTGCTGATCTGTGATGTCTTTTCCTCGGTTTCAATTAACCTGTCACATTTCCTAAGTCTGCTACATGCACAGTCCTTAAAAGACTTACCAAATGATGATTAGCATATGATTTCTTAGGGATGTGAGTAGCTCACACCCAAATATCCCTCCTTTTAGAATGCTGCTCATTCAACAAAGTCATATTTATAAATACAAGTTTGTATAAGGATATACATTTAACAGCCAGAATATTAATTTAAAAATTTGAACTTACAGCTAAACAGGAGCTCATAGGGTTTTTAGTTTTCTACACAGAGCTGAAGAACCACAAAACAAACTATCAGAAATCAAAATGTTGACCAAGTCTCTTCTGTATAATTTGGGGGCATCTAAGAGGTCAACACTGGACAATCATGGGTTAATGGCATTTTTATTGAACATGTTTAATGGTGTGTTTTCTGGAGAATGAGAGAATGATTATTTTTCATTCTTCATGGAAAGAGATCTCAATGGATGTGGAATGAGGTAGAGAGGTAAAACAATGGTGTGCCATTGGTCTGTAATACAAACTGCAAAGTCATCTTGCCTGAGAACCCCCTCTGACAGATCAAGCTATGTTCTCTGAAATATGGTCCAAATATTGTTTCAGTCACAATTGAACTGAGACAAGTGAGATACTTTTGCATTTTGATATAAACCTCATACATGAGGAAAAAATACAACTGCCGTTTCCTCTTCCACAGAAATGAGCATCCTGCTGAAAAATGAGTGTCTGGATAACAAATCGTCAGAAGGATTGACTCAAGAAGGAAGTCAGGTTTATGATCACGAGTGAGTGCTTAATTTTACAAAGACAGTTTTGTTATGTTTTGGTCTGTTACCCATTACGTTGTAAGTTTTAAGATACCACATCTTGACTCATGCCTGTAATCCCAGCACTTTAGGAGGCTGAGGTGGGAGGATTGCTGAAGGCCAGGAGGATTGCTTGAGGCCAGCCTGGGTAACACAGTGAGGCCCCGTCTCTAATATATTTTTTAAAAATTGTCTGTGTTTTTAGTTCTTCAACTATGTCTTCAGAAAACTGGCTCAAGACCTATGGCTTGGCTGCCAAGAAACTGACCATCATGGATGCCTTGTCAGTGACCGCAGTCCCACACAGCCCAACCTACATCCCTGTCCTGGACAAGCATGTCGTTTCTAAAGTCTTTGATGAGGTAAACTGATAGTACACATATCCCTGCTTGAGGTATTTTTTATTTTCTGCTCAAATAAGTAATAGTTCACTTCAGTTTCTTGTATGGTTGTAAGAGAAATATATTCCAGCCATTGGGCGAAAATTATTTGTAAAGGCATTAAAAGGGAGAGAAAAAGGCACTTAAGAATTCCTTTTGTTACCTGAGAGGAAACTGGCTTTTTGGGGGTTGCAGTTTATGGCTCGTTGCTAATGGTTAGAAGTGCGGAGCTGTAGAAATGTTTAAAAACTCTAGGTCAGAGTTATAAGTGAACATTGTCCATTATGAAAGGACAGAGAGAACTCGTGAGAGATGGTGTCTTTCCTTTGTTACCTTCTCTTCCTAAATTGAGTGGCATCTTTTGCATCATAAAGCCTCCAAAGGAAAAAGTCAGAGAGAGAGAGCATGCACGGTAGCAAAAGGACCACCAGAAGGTACTATTCAGTTCCCGAGAGGAGAAAAAGAGCTCCCAGTGGGAGGACATGGTAGGGCTAAATATGGAGGAAGACCAAGTATGTATAGAAGTTTTCACTGAACTTGGCAACTATGAGGTTCTTGTCTTTACATGAATAATTCTAGTGGAGCAGCCAGACTGCAGTTGGATGAGGAACACCAAAGAAATAAAGGTATAAAGGTTGAACCCCAGTACTTTGTGGGGAATATAACAGCAACTAATGACTTCAATAGCAACATGTTGGGTTTTACAGTCATTAAGTAGAAACAATATCATTAAAGACCTGTCTCATACTGAAATATTTACAGAGGAAATTATATATTTGGGATTTGCTTCAAAATAATCTGGGTGGTAGGAGTTGTGGAGGGAGCAGAGGAGTGAATGAAAAGGTTGACCATGAGTTGATAACTGTCAGATTTGGATAATAGGAATACTAGGGTGGGGGAGTCTCATTCTACTATTTTTTTCTGCTTTTTTTAATTTGGAATTTTCCATAAAAAGAAGCTGAGGCCAAACTCGGTGGTTCAAACCTGTAATCCCAGCACTTTGGGAGGCTGCAATGAGAGGACTGCCTGAATCCAAGGGTTCGAGACCAGCCTGAGCAACTTGATGAGACCTCATCTCTACAGTAAATAAAAAAAATTAGCCAGGTGTAGTAGTGTGCCTGTAGTTCGGCTACTTGGAAGGCTGAGGTGGAAGGATGGCCTGAGCCCAGCGGGTCAACGCTGGGGTGGCCATGAATGTGCCACAGCATTCCAGCCTGGGCAACAGAGTGAGACTCCAACTAAAAAAAAAAAAAAAAAATTCAAAGACAAGAAAACTTTAAAAAAAGAAAAAGAAAAGACCTTAACTAACTAGCCTTGAAATAGCTGAGATTTGATATATTTGAAAGAAGCAGATGAATTGGTGATTTTTTTTTTCTATTGATCCATGGAGTTTGACCTACATCCTGTCTTGACATGACCAGTGACTGATACTCTGGAGGTTGTGTGTGTGTAATTTTTTAGGCTGGGTCCTGACTACTTTGACTCAGGGTAAGTGGTCCTGTCCCTGGCCATGACCCTTGTGATTGGCAGGTTTAATTTATAAATCCAGTGAATGCTTACCTGGTTAGTCAGATGTGAACTTACTATTTGAACTCAACTTCTTCCAGAAGCAACAGAGAATAAATGAACCCTGATTTATTTCTTCTAGAAAGCTTGGTGACAACTTCTTCACATTTTATGCATTTGTTATATTCATATTCTTGAGTTTTATTTGGAACAAAATATATTTAGTGAGCTCTCCCTGGAGATAGAATTTTCTTGGGCTTATCAAGCCTCCGTCTAAACCTCCCAGCAACTTGAGATATATTGAAAAGGAAATTTCATTAAAAAAATACGGTTGGCAGGGAAGCATAAGCATAAAATACAAGGAAGAACCATAAAGGAAAGATTTATAGGCCAAATACATAAAAATACTTTTTGCTTAAAAACATATAACAAAATGAGGGCAGATCTTGGGAAAAATATCTGTAACATATACAGCAGACAAAAAGGTCACAGGAGTAATATCTTACGTGTGTATCAGTATACATCAGTGTGTGTGTATAAATCAGTGTTCAGTATACAAACACACATGCACACATGTCCACACCATAAAGGAATAAGAAAATAATAAAGATCTCAGTGGAAAATCTAGGGAAAAAAATTCAAAGCCACACACAAAAATATTTAACTTTACTGGTAATCAAATATATGCACTTAGAAAAAATTGCAAATTGAAAAGCAGTTAGACACCTATACCTCCTCCCCCACCAAATTGGTAAGGTTAAAAAATACTAATAAATAGTACAGTAAGTCCCCTACATATAAACAAGTTCTATTCCAAGAGCACATTTATAAGTCCAATTTGCTCGTAAATTCAACAAAGTTAGCCAGGGTATCCAATTAACACAATTGCCTATATAGTAGTGTACTGTAATAGGTTTATAATACTTTTCACACAAATAATGCATAAGAACAAACACAAAAAATTTTAAATCTTACAGTATAGTAGCTTGAAAAGTAGAGTAGTACAGTACAGTACAACAGCTGGTATACAGGGACTGGCATTGAGTGAACAGGCAAGAAAAGTACTGACTAGAGGAGGATATAGTAAAATATGATAAAGTAAGTAAAGTACTGAACAGTAAACTACACATAAGCACAACCACTTGTAGAGGATGCACACACTTAACAATGTACACCTGACACATGAACTAACTTACTTGACTAGACATGCAAATGCATGTTCACATCTTTGAAAGTTTGCAGCTTGAAGGTTCATATGTAGGGAACTTACTGTAATGGCAATGATAGGGTGAAATGGAAACTTATATCCTGCTAGTGGGACTAGTGCAACCTTGGTTCAATAATTTTAGAGGCCTTAAAAGCTTGCCTTTGTCCTAGTAAATTCATATATTACTAGGAATTCATATAATAATATATTCTATTAATAGTAATATATTCCATATTCAGAGATATGGAACATACATGCAGAGAATAATTACTGCCGCCTTGTATCTAACTATGAGAAAACTGAAAACAACCAAAATATCTAGTAGATACATTCATAAAATGGAATGCCATACATTTATTAAATGTCACATTTCTGAAGAATAAGTAATGACATGCAGAAAACCTCTCAATATCATGCTGCATGAAAGAAAGATTATAAAACTTCATATATAGTATGTTAAAAATTTGGTTATACATAGATATGATATAGACATAGTACTTTCTCCTTCTCTCCCTTTTTTCTTTTACCAAAATGTTAACGGTTAGCTGGAGGGTGAGATTGCTGGAAATTTTTTCCCTTAATTTATATACTTTTTAGTTTTTATTATAGTACTTTGAACATGTATTAATTATACACTGAGAAAAAGTTAAGAAGAACAGACCTAAAAACACACGGTAAAATGTATGTAAATATAAAGAAAACTTAATTTTAATTAACTATTTTATTTGTATTTGATAAGTAATATATGAGTACATTCTCAGTATATGAAATCTAAACCACACTGAAGTCTTTAGAAGAAGATGTGGAAGCTTCTCTTACAACTACTCCCATTCACAACGGAAACACTCTGAATAGTTTGGTGAATTTCCTCCCAGTACTTTTTGTACATACAACATATGTATATATGTGTATTCATATGTACATAATAATCTTAATAAACATAAATTAGATAATATCATACAGATTAGTTATTTTATATTTTAAAAATTATGTCAGAGACCTTTCCACACAGGCAGATATGGGTCTACCTCATTCTCACTAATTACAAGGTCTTCCCCATTATTAATGAAACTTACATTGTGTCCTTTATTACAAACAATCCTGCAACAGATTCCTTTGCACACATATTTTTGGACACCTGTACAAGTTTATCTTTGGCATAGATTCCCTCATAGACTGCTGAACCCAGAGAGTATATGCATTTTAAATTTTCATAGATATAACCCTGAAGTGTACCCCATATTTTAAGAATAAAATTAAAAATAAATACATTTTCATAGGTAAATCCAAATCATCCTCCAAATGCATTTTAGATTTCCACTAGTTTAATACCCACCAACAGCATAAAATAATATACTTTCCCTAAAAGCAATTCTTTATAATATTTGATAATTATTAGTCCTATGAGTGTGGAAATGCTTTGAAAATTCTGAAAGTATGATGCGGACATAAAATCCTTATACAACCCGCCCCTTTCTCACAGATTCATATGCCGTAGAAGTAAACTTAGTACTCAGTTCAACAATCAGAAGTTTTCTCTCTGGGACATATGCAATATATCTGTACCCTGGGAATAATAATATACCTACTCTGGGATTATTATAGGATTAAAAGAAATAATGCATATAATGGACAATACTTAGCAGCCTCTTAATAAATGTTGGATCTCAATATGCAAATACTCAAGAAATATGTGCCTACTGCAGGCCTGTGCTGGACTCCAGAATACAGTGCCAAACAGGAAAGTCAATGATTCTACGCAAGCACAAGTGAGTCTCATGGAGGAAAAGGCAGTGAAAATAAGAGAAGTTCTAGTTAGATGGGATGATTGGGAAGGGCTAAGTGAAGACTCAGAAGAGTCCCCTAACCCAGTTTCAGTTCAGAAGGCTTGCCTTAGCGAGTGGTGCCCAAGTTCTGACCTGGAGGAAGAGGAGTGGTGAAGATGCAGAGATTGGAAAGAGTGTCCCAGTCGGTGGGGAAGCTGGAGGGAAGACTAAGGGACAGTGAAAGTTTGTCATTCCATAGGAAGTCTAACGTAGCTAGAGAAGGTGATAAAACTAGTGAAAAAAGGGGCTTGATTAAAGAATTTTTAACTTCATCCTGAGGGGAATGGAAGGGTTTTTGGCAGAGGGGACAGAAGATTAATTTTGGGTTTTGGCTACCACACAGAGAATAGCTGGAGAGGCATAAGGCTGGAAAGACAGGGACAGTCAGGAGGCAAGGTCTAGGTCCCTGGCCCCAGTGGTAACACTGGGGAGAATACAAGATA